TCTTTCCCTTTAATCTGTTTTCTTTTTCTTCATAGCACTTATCGTTATCTGAATTATAGATTCATTTGGGCATATGTTTATAGTCAGTCTCTTTAGTATGCAGTCTCATAGAAAGCGGAGATTGTCTTATTTTCTCTACCCAGCATTCAGGTTATTGAGTAAATATTGTGTTGAGTGAAGAAATGCATAAAGGACATTTGGTCCTGTCCAAAACATCTGTAAGATATTTGGTCCACACCAAAATGTACTTGATATATGGCCCTGTCCAAAACCATTTGGCATGGACCAAATTTGCTCATGGATATTTTGGATAGGACTAAATTTCAAGTATCTTTTGGCATGAACCAAATGTCTTACTGACTTTTTGGACAGGATTAAATGTCTGCTAATAAAATGATCCTGCAGAAAATAACCATACCTTTGTGAAATACAGATGTTGGCTTTATTAGAAACTAAAATACCTGTCTTCTTTCCTTAAATGTATCATGATGTTGTTTCATCAAAATTTTAACACTTTACTAAATCGGTATAATGTGAATTTACTATTTTGAAAAAAAAATGAGTAGAAAATAATTTATGGACTAGGATTTTCTTTTATAGAGGGCACAGCTTTTGTTTACAAAGTATTGTTGAAATAATAGTGCATTCTGTTTCTTTTACTTCTCAGAAAATATAGAAGTCATTTTTTTTTTTTTTTGCGGTACACTGTTGTGGCCTCTCCCATTGCGGAGCACAGGCTCCGGACGCGCAGGTTCAGTGACCATGGCTCACGGGCCCAGCCGCCCCGCAGCATGTGGGATCTTCCCCAACCAGGACACGAACCCGTGTCCCCTGCATCGGCAGGCGGACTCTCAACCACTGCGCCACCAGGGAAGCCCCTAGAAGTAACTTTTAAGAACATTGCATCGCTCTAGTCACAATATATAAAATCAACCTGTTTGGCCTTACCATGCTAGAAATGCTGTTTAAAGCTGAAAGAAAAAAAAAAAAAAAGCTGAAACGAGCCAGGATCTTATTTGTCTTAAACAGTCTACATTTTATAAAAAGTAAAAATTGAAGAAGTTACAGTGGAATAATTGGCCTTAAAAGTACCTAAGAAGTTAGAAGAAACTCTGATGTTCATTCTAAGAAAAAAGTAATCCTTAAAGTTGCCTTATGTATGTATGACATAATCCATCACTCCTCTACCACTCCTCAGCCCCGTCAGCTGTTTGTGAGTGTGCGCTGGCGAACACAGTATCTTAAAAATATTTCAGTCGTAGAAACTGACGGCTTTAAATTTCATAAAATTGTGTAAAATGATAAAGAGAAAAGTAAAAAACTACATTCTCTTTACAAAGAAATATTTTGCATGTGAAATGTTTACTCTGGGGCTTGGCTTTAGAGAAAATGTTTCCTATATTTAAAAGTAAATTTTTGCTCCTGGCAGGTTGTTTTTCAGTATTGTGTTGCTTAAGTTATCATTTTGTCATTGCTTTTTGGATTAATATTGTCAAATAACATATACCATAAGATTTCACTTGTTTGTAATTTGTTAAGATTTGCTTTTGACCCAATTTAGATAAATATTCTAAGTCTGAAAAGAATGTAACAATATATTGTTTTTTTGATTGGTTGTAGTATTTGTTGTTGCTGTTTATATCAGCCATGTCTTTACTGATTTTTTTTTTTAACTACTTATTCTATGAGAAAGGTATGTTAAAATCTATTAGGGTTATGGGTTTGTGGTTTTGTTGTTAGTTTATATCTGAGATACTGTTGTTAGGTGTATCTAAAAGGTAAAAATTTTTATGCCTTCCTAGTAGATTGACCCTCTTAGTATTATGAAATGTCCTTCTTTATTCAGTGTTTCTCAACTTTAAATTCTACTTCATCTGACATTATTATAGCTATTTCAGCTTCCTTTTGGTTTGTGTTCGCTTGGCATATTATTTCCAGCCTTCTACTTTCGATCTTCCATATCCTTACATTTAAGGTGTATCTCTTGTGAGCAAACACATAGTTTTCATCCATTTTATCTTTATCTTTTAATTGAATTGTTTAGTCAGTTTATATTTAATGTAATTCCTGATATATTTGGGCATAAATTACCATCTAACTGTTTGCTTTACATTGGTACCACCTGTTCTGTGTTCCCTTTTCTCTTATTTCTTTTGGATTAATAAGTATTCTTGTATTATTCAATTTTTCTTTTTTTAAATTAGCTTGTTAGTTAAATATTCTTTTATTGTTCCTTCAGTGTTTATCTTGGAAATTGCAGCATGCATCCTTGAATTATTCTAAATTAAAATAGTACATTGATTTTTAAAGGGTGGGAATACTGTGGTTTAAATTTAATCTTTTTAAGCCAGTTTTTCACAATACACATACAGTTCATGCATAAGTCACTACATACATAGTATATATACAGCTGTAGAATGAGCTTTGAGTTGTTTAGACTTCCATTGAACATATACATGAAATCTTGTTTGGAAGTTTTGTGGATGATTTTACTGTCTTATCAAAGTAAAGTATTTTGACAGCAGAGCTTGTGGCAAGCAAATATTTCCTCTTCACTGGCTTAAAAGAAAATAACATCACTAGATACTCAACTGGAGTGGTGTGTTTTTCAGAAAGTGTAGATGTCCATATATATTGAATATCAAGATTATGGCTCTAGTGTTTGAGGAAATAAGGAACAGATTTTTCTCTTCCAAAAACAGCTCCTGAATCTGGGAACAGTCTCCAGTGGCAACTGCTGTTTAAAGGAAGTAGAAAACTTTAAAGAAAAAGCAGAACTATTTGAAGAGTAAAAGGGACATCAAACAGATGGATATCTTTTAATAATTGAAAATCAGTGTAACAACATTAAAGAAAATTTTGAAGAGGGAAAGA